AGTTGTGTCTAGAGGATTGGGTATTCGATATAAATTTTTGCTGCGTGAGTAGGAAAAAATATTAATTACCAAAAAATTGAAACATAAATTTTTGAATGAAGTGAAAGTGTGGATAAATACCTACCTTAAGCATTAATCTGCTCACACTTAACCTAAAAATAAAATATGTTATGATTTAGGTATCGTTTGTAGGCAAAAGAAACCCATAAATGAGCCTTTCAAATAGGGATAAAAACAAATTTATCTTTAACAATATTTGAGTTACGAAAAAGAGAGTTTAAAAAAATTATATTATTTCATTTTCGTTCATTCTTTTCTTTTCTTTTCCACTTAATTGGATAAATAATTAAAATAAAAAAAAATAAATTCTTTTCCTTTCCTCCCTTTCAATTTTTTTTATAACCAAATAAAGAATATTTTTTCCCTCCCCTTCTCTCCCCTTCATTTCTCATAAATCAAATATACTATAAAAAAGAATAGAGACAAAATTATTTTTTAAAATCATCAATTGAAACAAATGATTTATTGTTTAACCTATCTTTAACTAAAAGTTAGTATATGATGATGTTAGTTATTAAATAATAAAATATTTATCTCGATCCATCAATTTAAAAAGACAATTTATTTCTTTTTTCTAAAAGGTGAATCTATTCAAATCCTTTACTTAGGGAACAAATTTGGAATTTGGCATATTTTGAATTGTTGTATTGTGCTTTATAAACACAAAAACATATAAAATATCAATTAAAATTACTAAAACATATAAAACATTACTTTTTTTGTCTCAAAACAATTGTGGGTTTTTTTAACCTTTTTATATATTAAGAATTTAGAGATGATTTATATATTTACTTATATTATCTTCAAGAGAAAAGAAAAAAATAATTAGAAAATTTTAGTGATATTGTAAATAATAAAAATTAAGAGAAAACTATAGGATTAAAGTTTGAAAAAATTGTGTCTCCCTTACCAATTTGAAAAAACAACAATTAATTTGAGAGAAATTTTGAGTAAAAAAAATTATTTTTGGATAGAAAGAGTAATCAAAATCAATAATTATGATTATTTTTATTTTTAAATAAAGTATTAATCAACCCCAAACACAGCTGTAATTAACCGAAAGTGTGAAATTCCATGGGAAATGATACAGATAAGGACTTCAATTTTAGAAAATTTACTAACTAAGGCTCCAAATTTTTTTTATCTGAATTGAGGATCTCAACTTTCCAGTTTTCCTATTCAAGAACTCATACTAACCAATTTTATTATATAAAGCTTTATTGGATGGAACGTTGATGAAAATTTCTTAATTCCATTAAAGTGGCCGACATTGTTGACTTGTCTAAAAACTACTTTTTCATTGATGATTTTAACAAAATTGACAATCTATTGGGT